CAGATGATCTACTACTGTGATCCATGAGCAGCGGCAGAGGGGGCGGGGCTGGCTAGGTCAAATGTTTTACTACTAACAGCAAATAATAACAAAACTGAATTTAGCATGGGTTAGGGTATCAAAGTTTAGATTTTAAAAACTACCCTATTTTTTCAACTTCATTTTCCTCCTTACTCTACCCAGTGCCCTTTATCTTCCCATTACTCCTTTGCCAAATAGGACATCTTGTACCTTCTGTTAAATTGAATTAAGTTTTGCCTAAGGGCTCACCCATCCACAATAACTTACCTTGATGTATAAACAGAAATGTAGCCTACTCTTGTAACATGGAGCCAACTCCCAGCCAATCACAGTGGCTGAGTGTCGGCCAGCCCCAGGCATCCAACTGTTCAAACCAGGTTCAAATAAGGCAATTGCTAAACTTTAGAAAATCTACTCATCTTTGTGATTCACTTCTGCTTTCTGTACGTGATTCTCTTTCCCTTTTCTCTAAATATAACCTGCACATGTGCTGAGATGAAGCATTGGTGGTCACTAGATCTGCAAAATCAGATATATTTATCTATCTTTTGACTTTTTAAAACGCCTCAGAGCAATCCCACATTTCTCTGTGTTACACTAAAATGTTTCTTTAGCATGAACTAATAGTTCTGATCTTCAGGTGACCTTGGGAAAAAGCAATGAGGTTTGGCTAAGGGGAGGATGAATCTCATGGTTTGTTCTTGTTAATCAATCAATGTATGTTAATGGAGACTTATTTTACTTAGTCTAAAGCAAGTCTTGACTTCTGAGGTGTATGCCACAAAAACGGATGATGAGGAAGCACTCAGATTTCTCAGAATTCTGGAGAAATAATTTCATTTGATTTTGTACCTTCAGATACCTTGGTATCATAGTCACATAAATCCATGCTCTAGGCTTTTAGTAGACATAAACACAGAAGCTTGGGCCCAGTTACTCTTTCTCTACCTGCCATGTCCATTCTACTTCATACTGGTTCTTATTCTGTACAGTTCCATCATGGACCACATAGAATCCACAAGAACATATTTTCTCAAATGAATACCCATGAAGATGCCACTAGCATTGTCCAGTGTATTACTTCTAATCGTTTCTCTTCCTTGAAAAAATGGGAGGGTCTTTTAATAGCCCCTTTATTTTTTTCTGTATTAATTATATTAAATACCCATACATTCCCTCTGAATATTCATTTAGAAAGCAGGTTTTGTAATAGTCAAATTTAATTTATCAGGGTGCAATAATTTGTATTTCCCAATCATCTTGCTGACTTTGGTTCATTATACTATTGTTTCACATGAGTAAGTTAGCAAAGTTTGGATTGATTGACTCTAATTAACTAAAACTGGTTCCAGGCTGTGCATCTATTGTCATGGTAGCTAGCCGCAAAGCCCTAAACTGCTAAGTGATGGTGATATAAGGTAATATTGATTTGAAAACTGTAGATAATATGTAACCTTGGCCTTATCACTGTTTGGGAGACAAACTAAAAGAAGAATAAAAGATGTGTTAGGATAAGTTGTATGGATGCTTGGGCATGTAAATTGTCATTTTTTAGTGGGTTTACTTCTTTTTGGTTTTCTTTTCCAGAGATAATCACAGATGCACTGAATACAAATGAATTCAAAACTTAGCAGTAGGAAGACTAATAATTTCATGTTTTTTGAAACTGAAGAAATGAAACATGATTGCTGACTTCCATTTCAAGGAAACTGTTTCTAAACATTGCTTCTTTAAAAACAAACAAAAAACAGCAACTAAGATTTAGCCAGGTGCTGGTAGCTCATGTCTGTAATCCTAGCTACTCAGAAGGATGAGATCTGAGGATCATGGTTTGAAGCCAGCCTGCACAGAAAAGTCTTGTAAAATACTTATCTCCAATTAAGTACCCAAAAGACCAGAAGTAGAGCTTTGTCTCAAGCGGTAGAACACTGGCATTGAGTGAAAAAGCTCAGGGACAATGCCCAGGCCCTGAGACCAAGCCCCAGAACTGAAAAAATAAAATAAAAAGCTAGATTTTAATGTTTTTAAATTAAAAATTGTTTCCCCATTGCTGATTTGTTTTATACTTAATTTTTTGGAACTGGGAGTGTTACCCCACACATTTAATCCTAGCTACTCAGGAGGCTTGGGCAAAAAGTGAGATCTCCATCTCAATCAATAAATTGGGCATAGCAATGTGTACCTGTGGTAGGATGATTGTATTGTGAGGTAAGCCCCAGGAAAAATCACAAGGCCCTATCTCAAAGATTATTAAAGCAAAAAGGAAAAGGGCTGGTGGAATGGCTCAAGTGGTAAAGCACCTAATTCACAAGCAGGAAGCCCTAAGTTCAAATCCCAGTACAGCTATGAAAAGAATGACACTTGCCTGGAAGAAAAAACAGTTTGTAGATAGTATGACCAACTTAAAAAAAAAAAGACTGCATTTACAACCTATAAGCACAAACAAACACTACCCTCCCAGTCTTTATTTAGTGCTAGACAGAAATCAAGTTAAAAAAATATTAGGCAGAATTCTTTGAGATTTGTCAGTGAAGTTTCAGCTTTCCTGTGCAAGATGTTGTGGCTTCTGTGACTCCTGACTTAAATTACCAGTTAGAATATTCTTCCTGTGGTTTGCTGTTGCTCCCTTTTCCATTACTATCTTTGTTGCTATTGTGGTGCTGGGAACTAAGCCCAGATTTCACCTATTAGGCAAGTGCTCTACTACTAAGCTACACCACCAGCCTGCATCATTTTATTTTATGAGCTCCAAGGTTTTCATTTCCCATAATGTTCTTCACTGAGTTACCTTTCTCTCTCAGTCTATTATTTCTCACAAACTTCAATAGAACATTGTTCATGTCCCAGCAGATAGATAATGGGAAAGTTTAACTCATGTACTATAGAGGTTTTCTTGAGAAATTCTGTGTCAGAAAGACAGAAAACTCCACTTTTTGTAGTTGTCTTTGTTATTTGCACAGTGCTAAAGTCTTGGGAAACTGGGAGCAGGCAACTTTTATGTTAATGTCTCTATTTCATTGAGTTTCTCTTAATGATCTGTGGTTATTGTATAGCCATGTGCATTGGGACCAACTTCCGAATGTTACAGAAAAAGAAACGTGCATTTTTCAGAATTTACTAGCAAAACAAGACCAACATGATATGTGTAAGTGTGTGTGTGTGTGTGTGAGAGAGAGAGAAAGACAGAGAGGGGGGGAAGAGAAGGGTGGGGAAGAGAGGAGAAGAGAGGAGGAAGAGAGAAGAAAGGAGAAGAGAAGAGATTGATTTATTTTAAGTAATGGGCTTGGTGTGATTTTGAAGGCTGACTAGTCCCAAATCTCCACTGTGGGCATCTGGCAGGCTGGAAGAACCACATTTGCAGTTTCCTTTTCTTCTTTGCAACTTTGTAACTAAATAACTTCTCACCAAAAGAGAAGCCAGAATAATATCTCTTGCTAAGATATTGTTAAGATATTTTCTGAACACTTCAATAACAACAACTCTCCCCCAAACATTTCTTATGTATCTAACAGATACTCAAAAGAACTCAAAAGAACATTACATAGTCCCTGCCTTTGAGAAGAAAGTCTGATGTGTCAAAATGAATGGATGCTAACAAATGTCTTCAGATGAAATTCAGAGAGGTCATATGTAAATATAAGACAAAAGTGTTATCTTTCTGTGTTGCTATATATCAATGTATGGCACAAAATTGAGTGGCATTATTTCAACTGTGTCAAGAACTAGATATTATTTTTCAAGCTAGTCTATTTTCTTTTGATTATTATTTTTTTGCCTCTAGTGTCTTTCACTCAATCTGTTTAACATTATAGTCAAATTGATCAAACCGTATAGGAATACATAGGGATTTTTTTGATTATTTGGACATTTTACTGTAAAATGGATTATGCCCCTATATTAGCTTTCTATGAATATGGCAAGAGTACTCTAAGTTACTCATTTGTATAGACAAAAATTTGCTTTATGGCTCACAGTTTTAGAAGTTTCTGTCTGTGACTGGTTAGATCTTTTGCCACATGCTTCTGCATGTGGCAAAGTAATATCTGTTATTTCATAGCCAGGAAGTGGAAAAGTAGAAGAAGAAGAGAGTTCCATATCCCCTTTGAAGGAATGTTGTCAGCAACATAAAGGCTGCTGGCTAGGCCTCACCTTTAAAGTTTTCACAAATGTCAGGTAATACCTTCCTTGCAAGCAAGCTTCTGAAAGATGGTCCTTCATGGGACACTAAGATTCAAAGCACAGCAGTCTCTATCCACTTCATTTATATCTAAAGAAGATCTCCTGTTTTCCCAAAGATCATAACTAATTATTACTAACATGAATTTATCAATAAATATTCTCCTCTGTTTTTTTAACCTAAAGAAGTTAAAACAGACAGTATTTGGAATTTTATAGGATGAACTCTGCCTTCTTACTTTTTTCTGGGTCTCTGAAGTTTCTCTGATTCCTCTGAGATGGAAAACTGATCTTTAGCCCTCAGTATGTCTAATCTCCACTCAGTCTATAATGTACATGGTGGCAGGGAATGGCTTTGAAAGGGCTGAATGCACAGAAGGTCAAGAATGTGCATTAGCTGGGTGCTAATGGCTCACACCTGTAATCCTAGCTACTCAAGAGGCTGAGATTTGAGGATTGTGGTTCAAAACCAGCCAGAGTAAGAACATCAGTGAGACTCTTATCTCCAATAAACCACTAGAAAACCAGAAGTGGCACTGTGGCTCAAGTGGTAGAGCACTTGCCTTGAGCTGAAGAGCTGAGGGACAGCACCCAGGCCCAGAGTTTAAGCCCCACGACTGACAGAAAAACAAGAATGTGTGCTGAGGTGCCTGGCTTTAGAGCTGGGTGATTAGCAGTATGTGATTAGGACTGAAGGAAGGTGGGAGAGGAGCTAGGAACTATGCTTCTGAATAGAAGCCATGTCCTGCTGTATCCATTTCACAAAATTAGTGGTTTATATTAAGAGGATGAGCAATGTAGCATCATGTGCTTAATTGAGAGTCAAACTTCAAGCCAACTCCATGTTCTAATCCATCTACTGGCAGATACATGATGAAAAAAATGTCTTCTTGTTTGTTTCTTATCTGAAAGACAAGAAAGAGATCAATGATTAAGCTCCCATTACATCATGGGATTGGGGGTATAAAAAGAATAATCTAGGTGTCTTTCTCATCCAAGTGTAGCCTGCCAAGCAGAAGCATCCAAGTAATTCACCTAGCAGAATCTCAGACTTCCATCCAGACACATGGAATCAGAACCTATAACTTTTTGTTTTGGGTGGTATTGGGGTTTGAACTGAGGGTTTCTCACTTGCTAAGTAAGTGCTTCATCACTTGAGCTATGCTTTAGTTTTCAAATAGGCCTTTGCACTGATGTCTGGTATGCTTGGACCACAGTCTTCTTACTAATGTTTCTCACATAACTGAGATGATAGACATGTGTCATTTTGCCTAGATTTTTATTGGTTGAAATAGACAGGGTCTTAGGAACTTTTCCCTGGTCTGCCCTCAAATTGTGATTCTCATGACCTGGATCTACTTCCTGAGTAGCTGGGATTACAGGCAGGAGCTCCCAGGCCTGGCCTTCTGGAATCCCTAAGTTCACACACTTTCCAGATGATTCTTGTAGTCATGAGGTGGTATCAAATGGCTCTCCCTTTATTTTTCACTCAGTATCTAATAGCAAACCTACCAGTGATACAGAGATAACAAAAACAAATCTCAGCATTAGCAAATAATTTTTCCTTTAACTTAAAAACCTATTCCAATGCCCAATATACTTTTTCAACATAGTCATATCGCTATCAATATAACACATTTAATGAAACGAATACATGTTTGAAGTGAAAGTTTTGCCCACAAATCATTTGACTTAGCTAAAAAAATGCATCTATCTTCCATAGGCATCTTGAAAATTAAGTAAAAAGTGACTTCATGTTTCCTATGGGGCTCTGTTTTCGAGGTCCTGTTCAGGTCTTTCAAATACTTGTCACATGTCACGTTGTGTAAATTCCTCCACCATCCTTGGTGTGGTCCTCTGGTCACATACTGGATTTTAAGTGTTTCCCACAGACCATGTGATACAGGACTAAATCCATCCCCAGCGATGCCCGGGGAAGCAGTGCACACAAGAAGCCCAAGCTGATGACATCTCTCTGCTTCTGCTTTGGGCTTTTCTAATTTGGTAAATTGGCTGTCACATCACTAAACATAAGAAGCTTGAACTTGGGGTCCCTTTCTTTTCCTTTTTCTTTTTTTTTGTCTGAGGTTATTTTGCTTACCACAAATGAAGGCCACAGAAGCTAAATATATGTCTACTTGAATGATGGCTTTATAGCAATAAAATGAGCCCACAGGGGCTAATGACTCTGTAATCAGCTTTTTCAACCACTTTTTATATTGGGCATAATTTTCTGTCTCTCTGAGAAATTCTACATCATTTATCACTAGACTAACATGAGCAAAAGGGGAAAGGCATGAGCTGCGAGATTAGAGGCCACCGCCTGGCTGCTATGAAATCGTAGAGTAAATTTGCCTGAAGGAACACTACTCATTTCTGGATTCCAGCGCATTGGATGCTCACGTTCTTTTTATAGCCTGGAATTCTTACTTTGGCATTGGGTGAAGAAATTTATGTTTTAAGGATGCTTTATTTAGCTTGGAGTTTAAAAATAACTGTTTACCAAATCAGACCCTTTTTTCATTGTTGTTATTTTGCATATTTTCTTTAAGTTCATTTTATCGATCCTTGCCAATCCTAGTTGCTGTTAAGGGAAGGGTTTCAAATCTCTCACTTTGACTTTGAAAATTAGTCTTGAGCATGCTGGGCATAGTGGTACATACCTGTAATCCCAGCGTTAGGGGTAATTAGTTTGAGGCTTTGAAGTGGGTGGGGTAAATTGGAAGTCATACATTATTTGGGAGAGCCATAACTATTAATATGTTGATATACATGGATGCTAGAAAACCCACATAAGAAACCTTTGAATATCTAAATAGTCTATTTAGAATAACCATGTACAACTGGAATCTCAGATTGTTCTTCTGGGCCTAGTTACTTTCCAGTCACTTCTGGTTGAATAATATTCCAAGATAGATGGATAGATAGACTGATAAATAGATAAGCAGGTAGATAGAGATAGTGTCTCACAGAGTATAAATTTATTCACGTGTTGATTTACAATGAAATTGATTTCATACTTTGATTATCATGAACACTATTGCCACGAACATAAGGAAAGCACAGGTATCTCTTTGAGATGCTGATTTCATGGCTTTTGGATATATACCAGAAGTGACATTTCTAGATCCTATGATGGTTTTATTTTTAACATTTTGAGGCATTTCTATGCTATTCTCCATAATGGCTCCATTGTTTGACATTCTCACCAATAGTGTATAAAAATTCCCTTCCCTCCACATCTTCAGTGACATTTGTTGTCTCTTGCTTTTTGAGTAACAGAGCAGATTGTCTGCTTATGTTTTTAGTTCTGATGATCAATGTTGAGCATCTTTCCTAAACCTGTTAGCCATTTGTATCTGTTCTCACTAAAACTGTGCACTTGCTAATCATCCATTGACTATTTAAATGCATTATTTGAATTCTTTTGCTTTTTATGGTTGAGTTTCATAAGTAATTATTTACTTAAGGTTTACTAACTTATGGAAAAAACACTTGCATATTATCTATTATTTACAAATCATACTGATAAATTTCTTTAGAGCTTATTTCCTATCAAGGTTCAATATACTTCAGACTAAGTTAACCAATAAATTCTGTATCTCAATTGTCCATGTCATATTGGGATAAAGGTCTACAACAAGAGTCAGGTTCTTCCAGTCATCGCAAGGCATGTGTGAGTCCACCTTTTGGGACACTAAAATGTTGCTTGCATCCTATTCTGTCCTATCCTAGCCTATCTTTTCCTATCCTATCTTATCCTAGCATAACATAGCATAGCATAGTATAGCATAGCATCTCTCTCTCTTCCTTTTAACTTTCCCCCCAAATTCATGTAGGAATAAAATACAAGTAACAAGTCTTATTTTAAGGCAAAAGGCTCAAAAGCAGTAGAGAAAAGTTGTTCTATTGGTATCACTTGTAGTTAGTTGTCCAACCATCCAATATTTTCATGATTCTTAGATCTGGTCTTTGGCTATTAATTTGACTTCTTTAGTCACTTATAAAGACCTTCTGAAAGGATTCCTAAAAAGCACTATCTTTGTTACTTTCAATAGTCATTAGCTCTTTCTATAGTCATTAGAAAAAAGATAAGAAGTTTGACCCCTTAGATCTGCCATAACCCCTGTTTTCACTGTATATGATGTTGGTATAATTTGGGAAGGGCAAGGGAAAAAACAAATTGTTTAAAAATGGATACAGGTGGACCCATTGCAACAATGTACAAGACATTATGTCAAAAAACAAACTTTACAACTTTGATGAGGGGGGCTGGAGGGGGGAAGATGGGAGGGCAGAGATGGTAGGGGAAACAAAGGAGGAGGCAACGATGCTTGATAAGAAATGTACTTATTACCTTGCGAATGTAAATATAACCTCTCTTTACAGTATTTTCACAATGAAACCTTAATAATAATAATAAAGAAGAAGAAGAAGAAGGGCCCTGTAGAGCCCTCTCTTTTTAGCAGAAATGGAGGAACAAAGCTTTTGCTTTGGGGTTTTTTAGAGCTTTGGTTGTGACACAATTCTTTAATGAAGTGATGGTAAGAGAAATACTTTATTTTGTATTAAAGGAATTTTGTCCTGCATTAGGCAAAGTTACTAAAAAATACTAAAAGATATGAAAGTGCTGATGTTCAATGTGGTGATAATAATTTGTTCCTGGGAATATATTCTTTTAAGTCCAATTGCAAATAATGGTCACATTTAAAGATGAAGAGCACAAGTCTAGAGGTTCTGAAGAGCGTATTACATGAGATGAACATAAAATAACTGAAGGAAATAAAATAAGCTTTAAAATATGGAAAACTGAATTAAAAAAATCACAGTCTTTCTCCCCAAATGTGTGTATGTGTGTACATAACATTCATGTTTGTGTGTGTGTGGGGGGGGGGGGGGTATGTGCTTTGCTTCTAAAGTGGATTACTTATCAGCTCATTTTATGAGGCCAGGATTTGTGTGAGACCACATTATGACTGACTTTGCCAGAAAATAAGTTTACATACCAATAGTTCTTCATAAACACAGAATTTTAGCAAATCAAATACAATTCTAAACAACATTTTGGCAAATTCTAAATAGCATTTGATATCTCTGGTTATCTAGCTATCTCATCTATCTATGTATCTATCATCTAAGTATCTATCTATCCATCCATGTCATCTCTCTTTATCTTCCTATCTATTATGGAATATGACAAAAATATCCATCCATGTCATCTCTCTTTATCTTCCTATCTATTATGGAATATGACAAAAATATGGTAGGAAGTGAAAGAGACAATGAGAGAGTCCAGATGTGCCACAAATCCTGGAAGATACACCCTCAATGATCCAGAGACCTCCCATTAGGCTCCATTTCTTTCTTTATCTTTAAATTTTTTTACATTATCTTTAGTTGTACAAAGGGGTTACTATTCAACATGTCATTTTATAAGTATGATTCATCTTGATTGATATTACCCAGTTCATCATTCTCTCTCTTCCATCTCAACCTCACCACTTCACTTAATTTCCTTAGTTTCATAGGCTACACATTGAATAGGCTCCTCTTAAAAGTTTCTACCAACTCTCAATAATGTTATAATCTGGGGACAAAGCTTTTAACAAATGGGCCTTTGGGCAACATTCCATATCCAAACCATAGCACAACTGTAATTCCCCGCTTTGGAAGTGATGCTGCAGGTAAGGTAGCTCAGGAGGTGGACAATAGGTGGCAATTTTCTGTCCTGATGCCACAGCAAATCCAAAAACAGGTCAGTGTGAGAATTTCTGTGGGAGGAATGGAGAGTGCCTTTAAAAAATTTATTATAATGGTGATGTACAGAGCCATTACAATTACATAGTAAAGCATTAAGGACATTTCTTATCGAACATTTTTACCCCTTCCTTCTTTTTCTCCCAGT